GGGGGGGGGGGGGGGGAGGAGAAAAGTACATAGCTTGTGTGCATTCCTACCTGTCCCACTTGGTGAGGGTAGGGGGATGAGGAGTAGGTGATGCAAACTCTATATTTTCCCCTCATTCTCTCATCCTGAGAGGAAGAGGAAAAAAGATAAGCAGTGTTCCCATAGGCATGGCTGGAGCCCCTCCCCCTCTCACCTTCCAGAAATGGCACCCTTGTGTGGGATCCATATAATTTCAACATACTTAGCAGAGATGACCCCAAATATTGCCCAAATAAGAGGAACATAACAAGCTGCAAAGTGCAGTATTTGGGGCTACTCCTGTATTTTATAAAACAGAAGTGAATTCAGCTGCATTAAACTTTACTACAAACATGTGAGTGGCTAAATGCTCCATGCACCGGAAACCACTTGGATCAAAAACAGAGCCAAGATCATTAGCATAGGCGCTGACTCTGTGGATGTGCCAGGGCTGTAGTGCCCCTGGAAAAACATTATTGGTACCAAGCACAGCACAGGCAGTCAGCTCCCACTTTCCCCCTCCCCCCGCAGCATCTGCCATCTGCAAGCCCCCCACCATCAACTTCCCCCCTCATTCCTTGCACCTCTGGCCTGCCTCAGTGAGCTGATTTGTGACATGCAGGAAGCTCTGAGAGGAAGGGGTAGCAGCAGGGATAGGGCATGCTTGGAGAAGTGGATGGAAAGAGGCGGGGAATAAGTGGGGTGGGGGCAAAAAGAAGTAGGCAAGGGTAGGGATGTGGAAAAAAGATGGGGGTGAGAAAAGGTGGGACAGGCTGGGGGCAGGGGAGTACCCCAAGGGCCCAGAGAAAGTCAGCACCAATGATCATCAGGATCTATGCCCCTCACTCAGTGAGGAAGGGCAATGCGTGCTAAATAGATTTCCTACTATGGGAAAGGGAGGGGGAAATACCATGGACTCCACGGAGGGAGGAAAACAAGGCAAGAAGAGATGGTGGGACCCTAAGAGAGGCCTCTGGACCCTAGCACTATACTGGCAGTTGAAGTGGGGTTACCCGGAGGAGCCTAATGAGAGTGGAAGGAAGAAGTTGCCTTGTTGAGTAGGGGGCTTATTTTTAACCTGCTCTTGGCCAGGGAGCAGCACAAGGCAGGCGCCGTAGTGGGCCCCGTAAGGGTGGCCGTGCGGGGCCACTTCCAAGTCAGTGAGTTAGCAGATGGCACCCGATGACGATGACACAGCGAGCAGGGCACGGCGGGCGAGGAGCCTAATGAGAGTGGAAGGAAGAAGTTGCCTTGTTGAGTAGGGGGCTTATTTTTAACCTGCTCTTGGCCAGGGAGCAGCACAAGGCAGGCGCCGTAGTGGGCCCCGTAAGGGTGGCCGTGCGGGGCCACTTCCAAGTCAGTGAGTTAGCAGATGGCACCCGATGACGATGACACAGCGAGCAGGGCACGGCGGGCCCAATCTCTCCCCCTCAAAGGAGAGCACGGGCCGCACCAAGGCAGGCGGCTGAGCGCCTGCAGCCCAAGGAGAGGCGCCTTCCGCTCGGCAGGGCAAGCGGCGCTGCGGGGCGGAGCAGGCAGCTCCCACGCGGGCGAGGCGGCGGGGGGCGCTTACCCGGAGCCTGACGTTGCCGCTGGCAGGGAAGGAGGCGGCGGCGGCAGG